AATCAATTTGCCAAAGTGAATCTCCATCCTGCCCCAGCTTAGTCAGTAATTACAAATGTGCAAGTTTCTTTGTCCTTCTAAGTATTTTATGTGCTGGAAGCCATTGGGAAAGGCCCCAGGCTATGGAAGGTGGGTACGAGCCCCCCGCGGGGCAGCACAGCCAGTGCCTAAGGAAACTCCCTTGCATTTCTTGTTTGCCTCTAATATTATTAGAGCCCCAAAGTGGATCCCTGCAGAGTGGACAGGTCAGGGTACCCCATCTTGGACTGACAATGCACAGTAAGTAAGTGGTAGCTGAGTGTAGATAAGGTGAAACAAAAGGGATTGCCTGCCTGCCTCATCTGAAGTGATAAAAGACACTTGAAGAGATTTGAGTACAATATGTTCTGTTTCCTCGGTCGAATTATGCTCCCAAGGGCATCCATGCAGCATTATCTATTAGCCAAGAGAGGAGCTCGAGTCACTGAGCAAGCTGAGCAGAGCAGCCTTATTGCAGGGGGGAGTTTTTCATCACCTTATTTTCAGTGGAATTCAGAAGAAAAGCAGCCCTAATCCAGCCAGCAAAGCTCCTCGTGGCATTTGTGTGAGTGGGCAGTGCAGAGGCAGACACGTAATTTGTGGATCCAAACCCACTGGATGCCGCCCTGTGCCCCTGCTCCGGGTGTCCCTGCCGGAGCAGGGGGGCTGGACGAGATCATCTCTAGGGGTCCSTTCCAACCTCAGCCATTCTGTGACTCCGTGTGATTGTTATCTGGGTTCTTATTAATAGCTTTTCTATTGTTGTTTTGGGTAGTACAGAAGGGCCTTGGTCACTCAGTATGAAGTTAGCTCTTGTAAAACTATCTGTACAGACTGTTTTATTGTTATACAATCTAACCTGTTTTATATGTTTTAAAATATAAATGAAAATAGAGGAAGAGATTCTGCTCTTGCTTAGCTGGAGTTAATGGACTAATAAATTAGAAGGAGAAAAAGCTCTGGCATTTCCCATGCCTTTGGAACCTGGGAAGGTCACCCATCTAGATTTCTGGAAGGAGAGCTGCTGAAAACAGCCCTATGTGAGTTTTTGGTGATAATTTTTTCTTAAATTCTCACAATAAAAAAATCCAAAGCTGGTGACATGTGGCATTCATGGACATGGTGGGCTTGGAGCAGCTATACGAACTTGTGCATCATTTCACTGCTGAAACTTTAATCCATAAACACACAATCCAGCTTTACACTGAAGCCCCTTTATGCCCTTCTGGGAAAGGGAGACTGAAAAATCCAGAAGGAATGGGGAAGAAGCCGTCCTGGATGAATGCTCCTGGCAGGGTGAGTTTTCCATCGGTGCCAAAGCACTTGGCAGCCCGTGCAGCAGGAAGTGCACGGGTAGGAAATCCCTGCAAGTGAGAAGGCCCCACTGCTTCATGGGCACCTTCCAGCCAGCGGAGGCCCCGGATAGAGCAGCCTCTTGTTCCTGAGCAGGCCCAGGACATGAGGATGGTGGCAGAAGCCCTAAGGCTCTGTCTCTGCGTTCCCAGCTCCCGGCGCACGCGGAGCGTGGGCGGACGGCGCACCCGGATGTGCAGGATGCGCTGCAGGCCAGCCAGGCAGCAGGAGCGGCGCGGGCAGCGGCGGGGGGACGCGACGGTTCCCGAGCAGAGCCTTCCATCCCAAGGGGACCCCTCCATCCCGAGTGAACGCTCGGGTTCCCAACCAGACCCCTCCGTCCTGAGCTGCCCGCGGTGAAGGGGTGAGCTCGGCGGCTGTGGGTCGGAAGCCAAGGCCGCCCCCTCGGCAGGACCTCGCGCTCCGGCTGTTTGCGCTGCCCTCTGCGCGGGTGCCCCTCGCTGCAGACGTCATCAGCTGCAGCTTGACGCCACAAGCTGGGACGTCTGTGCCTGTTTACCTTGTAGAAAAGAGCACAGACCTCTCTTGCTCAACTCAGTTTGGATTTGTTTCTAATTGCCCCTGAATTACTCTTACTTGTTATCCCCTTGCTACAGCGTTGGTTTTACTAAGATAGGGAGATCAATGCMATGTGTTCAGAAACCCAACTTCCAGCTCCTTTGGACTAAGGAGCAGCAAATTAGAAACATGGGAAGTACCACACTGAACCTGACCACTTACCTGTGTAGTCAGGTACGAGCTCTGTGGGGCCTGAACTTTCAGTGATTGTTGCAGTGATTAAATATCTGTGAGTAGACTCAGCTTTGTCATGCAAAATCTTCCAGGGGGCAGGGTTGGGAAGAGGCTCTGTGGACAGCCTGGCAGTCTTTTTTTGTGTGTGTGTCAGACAAACACACTAAGCTGGGTAGCCATGGGAAGAAAATGTTTTAAACAATAAGAAAGCATAAGGAATTAAAGATCTTTGCTGTACTAGGAAATGCAAATGCCACTGGTCTTATTTCCCGCTTGTGTTATTTCGGTGTTGGGTCCTTCCCCAGTAAAGCTGCTGGGCAGCCCTGGGCCGTACCCCTGTCTCTGCTCTCGGGGACTCTGCTCACCCCTTGCTCTCCTTCACCTTCTCACTGATCCTTAAAGAGTAAGGACTGAGAAGGAAGGGGCTGCAGCTCCTACGCCAAGATGTGTTCCTTCCCCTGGCTTCTTACAGGCACCTCAGGACATCTTAATCATCCCCCGCACGCTTTTTTTTCTGATATGGAAGATCAGTAACATCTTCAGTGTATCCTTTAATTTTCTTTTCTTTCATGAGGGCTTACTTCTAAGCCTGCTCGATATTAGGTCAGTTTTAAAATGCCTGATTGGAGATACGGGAAGGGTTTTAATTAGGCTAACCCAAATTATGGGACCACTAGCACCGAATTTTTTGTTCTTGAAATATATCAGCTGAGCAGAAGCCTCTGCTTTCAGCCTTTTCAGCAGTCCCACATTCACAAGCAGAAGGTAGAACTTAAAAGGATTAAGCAGGAATGCACTTGGTTTCTCAGACCAGAACACCAATAACTGCTTTTTCTATTGTAACAAGTTATGCCTGCAGGTCAGCGTTTTTGTTTGAGCTTTGAATGGAATCCAAGTCAATATGTCAATAAAACCCTTCATTTTGGCCAGGATTGTAACTAATGCCGTTGTCAATGAAGTCAGTGCAATTCTGGGAAAGGAATTTGTGACTTAGCTTGTTCTTTCTTTGTAAACTGAATGGCTGCCTATCCGTTAGTGTAAATTCATATCCCAATATTTGCTCTTGCTTCTTGGCTTTATTTTCATTTTAAATTTCTCAATGGCATGAAATAGGGTTGTGTTTTTCAGTCTATATTTTCCCCTGTTCTAATAGTTTCAGCATTTGAAATTGTTGGCATGTTACGAAGAAGAAATACTGCAGGTCTGACACAATCCCAATTTCCTTGTTGTACTTTCCCATTGAAGTAAATAAACATTTACTTTCTTTTGGACCCACTGTGAAAGAACATAATCCATAAAACGTGAACTAATATTGAGTAACGTGGCTGAGGCCAGAGGGTTTATCAGCTCGCAGTGATTTGCTGCAAAGAAACAACTCCCTGCGGGTACTCAGTGTGTTTTTGAGGACACTGTGCGTTTATTTGAGCAACCAACACCTTTTTTTGTGTGTTTTTAAGATAAGGAAGCCTCTCCGAGCCGCGCCAGGGCTTCAGAGCGGCGCTGGGCAGTGCGAGTGACACCCCGATGGGAAGAGAGGCCTGAGGATGTCGCGGGGAGGCCGTGCAGCAGCTCCTCCGCACCCTTTGGGTGTCTGGGGTTTTACTGTGTGTTTTTTAAGCTGTTCTCTCTGTGTTTGTTTGAGGGACACCTAATGCTGCATTCATCCTGACCGTATCTGTTAGCAAGTTGATAAGGTGCCCTAAGCTCTCTTAGCTTTGGCACTGGTGTCTTAGGTTTTACGACACAGAGCCTGCGCTGTACCTAATGCTGGCAGTGAGTGAGCTCGCTGGTGCCAGCCCGAGGGAAACTGCTCCGAGCAGCCCGGGGTGCCTTCGCTTGCCGCCCCTCGCAGCCGCCCCCTTGGGCTGTCCCCACAGGGAACAGTGACAAGCAGGAGCAGAGGGTTTTCAAGCGAAGCTGATAGCAATCGGGTCGGATTGCGTCATATTATTTTATTATTGGATGGAGCTGCAGGACTGGTGTGGGGAACAGTGCAAGGGGAGATTAAAGTCTCTTGGGTTAGCAGTTTCTTGTATCTGACTCTCTAAGTGTTACAAAGTGCCCTAATGAGCCGGAGCAAAGGTGGATTTAGCCGGGCAGGCCAGCAACTTCCTGAACTGATTGTCCTAGCTGAGCTTAGGAGAGGTCCAGGCGGGAGCCATGGCAGGGCTGCAGGGGCAAAATACAGCAGCCGCTGGCTCTGCCTATAGCATAGCCTTTCCGTGCGAGCAGGCAGTGGCCTTCCCGTATTTTGGAAGTGAGAACACATGGGGCGAGTCCAGTGTAGCAGGAAATGCAGGGAATGGCTCTTCCCCAGGGCCTGCAGGAGTCAGAAAAAGACTTTTTTGACGCTCCTCATGGAAGCACCAAGCAAATCGTTGGCCTCCCGCTAAGGCCGCTGAAAGCCAAGGGCCTGCCCAGAGTGAGGCGAAGGCACCGCAGGAAGCTCCTGAAGGGAGGAAGGGTTGGGAAGGTGGAGGGACGTGTTGGATGTGGTGTCTGTCCCRCTGTGTTTCGCCAGGCTGATCCCGGAGCCTGTGGCACCCAGCGGGGCCGCAGCCTCGTCCCACAGCTCCTGCGGGGCTGCCGGGGTGGGCAGCAGAGCTCCGCACTCCCCCGGGGCCGYGGCGACGCTTCCCTGCCTGCTTCCCTGTCTGCCTCCCTCAGCGGGGCTGGTGCCACCAGCGCGGCCCACAGGAGAGCAGGGCCCGGGGCCAGAGGGCCTGGGTGCGAGGGGAGCGGCGCGGCGCCGTGGGGCGGGGTGGGGCTCGCGGCCGCGCTCTGCTCYGCTCCACTCTGCTCCGCTCCGGGCRGGATTTTTATTTCCTGTAACCCGCACCCTGCCCCGCCGCAGCAGAGCCGCGGCCACGGCGCCCATGGATGCGGCCTTGGTCGCCGCTCTCGCCCTTCTGGCAGTTGCGGTCGGACAGACATCTGGGAGTAAGTAAAGCTGCTCTTCACCTGTATTGTGATTTCTTTAACCCAAATAAATAGATGAGAGAAGGACTGCTTAGCATTAAGTCTGTTTAAGCCTTTGCAGTTCTGTAAGGGATCAGAAATGACTGGGTTTAAGGTCTGTGCTGGAGCCAGGGAAAATTTTGGAAGCGACTACCTGACTGTGTTAAACTACACAGAACAGTTGCCGCTTGTTTTAGGGGAATTACTTTCACCTTAGCGTTTCCTTGATGCTTCCAGAACAGACCAGGGGACTTTGTGTGTCTCTAAAGCAGTTTAAACAAGGAAATGCTGGGTAGGTAATTGGTTGTGGCAAATAATATCAAGAACAAGGTATGTGAGACACTGTAAGTGCCAAGACCTTTAAAAGCAGCAGTCATTTCTCAAAGGAACACAGACAAAATTTCACTCTCCAAAGGGATCTCTTGTTCAGCTTTCTTTCTTCCAAGCTTCTTGAGAGTATGTTGAAAAGAGCCCTTGATCTTTTTCTTTTCAAATCAGACTGCTCTGGATAGAAAACATTTTGGACAGCTCTTGCTATGATACATGTTGTGAAGTTGGTTTCTCAGGCACAGAAAAGGGGCTTTGCCCGGCACTCAGTGTAGGGTGTCCGCGGGACTGCAGGGATCCAAGAAAACTGCACTTGCTTTTTGTCGTCTTTCATCTTAATTGAAGCGTTTCAAAACAATTGCCAGCTCTCTGCTTGAATTCTTAGTTCTTGTAATTTTCTGTCATAGATAAGCTGTGTTCTCAGTGAAGGTAACAAACTCCCAGATTTTCAAAAATGTGGAGCTTTTGAGATGCCCTTTTCTCAAGTCAGCGCCAAAGCTGCTCAGTTGCCCGTGGATTTGGGCAGCGCACGGACACATCTACCTTAAACCTCCTCCCAGGGGAAATGGAAACAGCCCCGCAGGCCTCTCCGTGGGGATTGCTGGCCGGGTCCTCCCATCCAAGGGGAGCCCTCCTGGCACCGCATCCTGTCCTCCGGGCTCGTGGCCGTGGAAGCAGCGTCTCCCCCCGGGAGCGTCCCCACACAGCGCCCGGTGCCCCTGGGCGCTCCGCAGCCGCCGGGGCTGCTGCAGCAGGAATCCGGCAGCCCTCTGGTGGCCAGCGTGCACCCGGGCACGACGCCTGCCCGAAAGTGACACAGAATTCAGTTTTTGTAGATGTAGACGTGGAACAGAATACTTTTTATTATTAAAATGCTAAGGGTTTTTTTTTGTCTTTACAAATTTAGTTTTATAATCCTTGACGTTCTCCTGTCACCGCGTTGTTGTCAGACATCCTGCAGTGCTGTGAAATTGGCAGCTTTAAATGAGAGACTGTGCAGCAGATTAGACAAGAGATTTTTTTTCTTATTTTAGAGGCGATTGATTTGAATTTAGGGGACACGGAGGTTCTCTAGTGAAAGCGCCAGCATACATTTCCTTTTCAAGATATGAAGAGATTAATTTGATATTAAAGAAAAACAGCTGTTAACTGTCAGAGGGTGTGAATAACAAGTTCTCTGTTGTGGTGCCTGGGTGTCCTCTAGTGCAGGAGGATCCTGAGAAGTGGCTCTTGCTTCTTCAGGTGCACCCGTTTCTCCAGGGTTTGCTCCATTGCCCTTCAGTATCACACACAGTCTCAGTATGTCTGTCACCTTATATATTATATTTCATGCCTCAGAGCGTTCCCAGCTGAGGTTCTCCTCAGCATCGTGAAGAACAAGCCCTGGAGCCCACACTAGAAACACCAACAGCTTCAAGTTGCTGCTCAGTGGTGGAGCTCGTGCAGGCAGTCTGGCAGGGAGGAGCTTCTAGAGAGGGTCCAGCGGAGAGCTACAAAGGTGATTAAGGGAATGGAACATCTCTCGTATGAGGAGAGACTGAGTGAGTTGGGCCTGTTCAGCTTGCAGAAGAGAAGGCTGAGAGGGGATCTGATTAACATGTGTAAGTTCATGAAGGGAGAATGCAGGGAAGAAGGGGACAAGCTGTTCTCATTGGTGGCCAGTGATAGGACAAGGGGAAATGGGCATAAGCTGGAGCACAGGAAGTTTTGTCTCCAGGTGAGGAGGAACTTCTTCACTGTGAGGGTGACAGAGCCCTGGAACAGGCTGCCCAGGGAGGTTGTGGAGCCTCCTTCTCTGGGGATCTTCCAAACCTGCCTGGATGCCGCCCTGTGCCCCATGCTCTAGGTGTGCCTGCTTGAGCAGGAAGGTTGGACTAGGTGATCTCTAGAGGTCCCTTCCAACCTTGAACGTTCTGTGATTCTGTGAGGGTGGAGAGCCGCACGAGTCCCGGGCGGTGCCCAGGCCCTGGGCCCATTCCCAAGCGGAGCTGGACGGGTTTGGCACCAGTGGCAACAGGCACAAACAGCCACGAGCTCCTGTTGATTTGAGGAACATCCCGTGTTTCAATATCGTGGCCCGCCCGTCTGTGCCCACCTGGACTTCCAGCCCTGAACACGTCTGTTTGCAGAAGAGGGAGAGCACCACTCGAGTTGTAGTTATTGAGGCCACCATATTACGTACGGTGTCATTTCCATAGCCCAGCATCCTTTCTGATCCTTTCCACTCAAAGTTGTGCTTCAGTTACTACGCACTACATCACGGAATGGATTAAGGCATTTTGCGACCTCTGAGATCCCCATCTCGGCCCCTGCTGTTGGGCAACCTCCTTGTTTCTGCCAAGCACAACTCTTCTGCATTTGCCAAGAATTCTAGGATTCTGTTTTGTTCCCCTGCCAGGTAGGATCAAAGCCTTCTTCGTAATGAAATAGTTACCAACTTGCTTTGGGTTAGGCTGAAAAGACCTGCTTTGAGGTACTGAACTTTTAAAACAGCCTCGAGTTTGTTTGGATGAGAGGAGTGTTTTCTGGCAGCCTCTTGAGCAAATGAGTACTGAATGATCCTGAATGATCCACCTTGCAGCAGTCCAAGTGTGTAGGTGATGTGATCAGTAATTTGCCTTCCAAGAACAGCACCTGGAGTCTGTGTTCACAAGCCAGCAACACTGGATTAAGAGATGAAACTTGTCTATGGAAATGGCCAGAGTGTTTTAGTACACAGTGTGTCCCAACGAAGCCAGAGATTAGTCTCATTAATCAGTGCAATATTTTCCCCCAGCTGTACGAAGTTCGCTTCGTAGCTGCATAAGAATTCCATTAGGAAACACTGCTGCCTAAAGCTGTTAGTCCCAGGTCCGATAAGGGAAGATCAAGCAAGTTTTTATTCAGATGTGCTTGACATAACGTGCTCACTGCAAACACAAAGCTTCCCATGCTGTGAAAGCTCTCCTTTCTCTCCGTTTCTTTTGAAAACAGCAAGGCTCCATATACTGTGTCAGAGCCAGTGAAAAGATTACCCCTAATGCATTCCAGAAGTGCCAGTGGCAAAGCGTGCGCCCTCGGAGGAGATCCTTTCTGGGCAGCTTTGGGAGAGAAGGTGGCAGTGGAGGTTCGTTCCCCCCATCTGCACAGACGTGTGCTTAGTCCCTTCTCGTGGACTGGAGACTGGAGACCTGCAAGGCTGAAGCATTCGGATGCCACCAAAACATATGAAACAGATTGTGAAAAGCAGGGAGTGTTTCCTAGGTGAGAGTTCCCAAGAAAGAGGCCAGAACGGATAATAAATCCTGCCCCAAAATGGCAGAGCAAACCCGAGTCTCCACATTCATCCCCAGGCTTGCAGATCCTTTTAAGCTGCTGCTGAAGACTCGGCCGAAGAGGCTCCATATCAGAGAGCAGCTCCAAATCCCTCCTGGGCRAGAGGAGAGGGGTGTGTTTCTGACTGACCATGGGCAGCCATAATGACAAGTGGAATGGGTGTTACTGGGAAAAATCTCTGAGGCCAAAAGGAAAGGCCGGACCAACATCCCTGTGGAGAAAAAAACACAACTGTTAATTCTTGTTTAGACCAGTGATCACTGAATGTTGAGCCTGGTCTAATTGGTGAAACCTAGTGATGTTTTTGGCATCGGGTTGGGCTGAATTCGGTGTTTTTGCTTGTCCTCCCTGGTTGTACCTCCCTTGCAAACTGGCTCCCCGCTCCGAAGGGACAGGGTCCCGCGGGCCAGCGCCGCGCTGGCAGAACAGGGCTGGCAGGCGGTATTTCCACAGGCTCTGACAGCAGAACCCTGGTACCGGGTATTCAGCTGGGATTCAAAGCTAACTAATTCCCTAATTCCCATTTGCCATATTGCAGCTGCCCTTTCATGCACAGAACAAAACACTTCATTTAAAAGTGGTACTTTCTGGTCAAAGAAGTAAAGTGAGCAYGGGTTAGATTCCTCAAGGCAGCTCCAACAGCCCGTTGGAAGCAGGACAGTCTTCCTGAGCACACAGGCAGGCTCCGGGTCTGAGACAGGCTCTGTCCCTGCAGCCGCAGGGAGAGGCAGCCGCTCCACCCAGGACTGGGAATCCCGCGGGAGCTGCCGATGGGTGCGCGGCCTCCTGCGGCTCCCCGTGGAGCTCCCAGCACAGCTCCTTGCAGCTCCGAGCACAGCTCCTTGCAGCTCCCCGTGCAGCACTGCCCACCTCCTCCAGTGCCGGGCAGGGCTCCCGGTGCTCCTGACTGCTCCAAGCTTCCCACGAGGCTTCCTTGTCATCCTCTTTGCAGGTGTGTGTCTTTCAGAGGGATTTTTCCCCTGTTCTCTTGTGTGATGACTCGTGCTACAAGACTAAGTCATTGCCTATAGAGCAGCCTGATTTACAGGCCAGGAAAAAAAGGATTTGAAAAAAGGGAAMGGAGACCCTCTCCCTCTGCTCTCTCCGTTCAGCAGGCCATAGGTGTCCTTGCTGTGCTCACGTGGAGGCAAAGGTTTGAAGCTGGGATCTCAAGGCTTAGGTTGTCTCTATGCTGATGGAGGGAATCCCGTTAGGAGGTGCAGTTTTGTGGACCCACAGCATGGATCCCATCTCTGGGAATGCCCGAGCTCCGATGTGCCCGTGAGGCCTCAGCGAGCTGCCACAAGCAGGGGAGGCTCCGCAGGTTTCCCACGGAGACACGGCAGGTCCAGGACACCCAGGCCCTGGAGAAGGGAAGGGAAGGGAAGGAGGCGGCGCAGAGCCGGCAGCAGCGCTGGCTGCCCCAGAAGAGGAAGCCAAGGGCTGCTCCAGCCCTCAGGGCAGGGACTTTAAATTGCGCTCCTCGTTACCTGCTGCGTCGTTAGTGTCAGTGACCTTCTCCCGCAAAATTAATTAATAAACAAAATAAAAGCTGCTCTTTTCCCTCTGCCCTATAGCAAGGCTCTATGGATGCGTAGAAATTGAGGAAGATATAAGGAAGCTGTTCTTTAACTAACAAAGAACAAAACCCATCCCTAGTTGGGACAAGTCAAGAGGATGCCGTCTCGATGAGATATAAACATGAACTAATTATATATCGTGTTGCTGTTGGTTCTGATTTTGTTCTTTTTTTTTTTCAGCTTTGTTTCCTGTGGCCTTTAGTTGTTGCACGAAAGTATCAGAGGAAATTCCCAAAGGAATTCTCCGAAGGGTGGAGAGGTTTGACATCCAGAAAGCCGATGGCCTGTGCCACTTGGAAGCTGTTATGTAAGAGAGATCTGGGGTGATTCTCCACAAATGGGTGCCCTCATGCCTTGAAAACTGCTAGGTGCTGTTTACACAAGAGTGTAAATCTTAGTATGCTGGCATAAATTCAATGAAAAATAGGTCCCGTGTAATTTTAAAACTATCCCTTCTTGTGTTATTGAAGCTTCTGATTGTTAAAAGTTGAATTTTCAGTATTGATTTTTACTCAGCCTGCATTAACTTCAAATCTTGTTTTACATTCAGCACTGAGGAAACATTTACACACCTCAAGGCTCCTCTTTTTTATCCAGCTGGTCCGGATTCCCCCAAAAACTTGCCTAAATTAAATCAGCTTCACTTTCAAACATAGACTCTTTCTACTTCATGCATTTGGGGGGAGGGGTTGAATTTCACACTTTGTGTTAAATTGATAAATTCTAAACAGGTCCTAACAGGTACCTTTTATTCTTAGACATTTATACAATGATGATAAAATGTTCTACTTAATACTTTTGATAATACCTGTTTTATACTGATTGTCTTGGGATTCAGTGAAGAAGAAAAGCTGTTTCTTATGATTTTGCATGTAATCTTGCAAACCTTGGATCCTAACTTTTACAGTATCTGAAGTAAGACAAAGTAAAGTATAGTCAAGTATAACTTTGCGGACTATGTATGAGAGTGATACATTTAAAAATATGTATTTTTTCACTTTTCCTTGCAACTGATAATTATTTCTCTTTCTGGCAGTCTCTACATACAAGGCAGGAAGTTCTGTGTGAGCCCGCGGATTAAAAAAGTTAAGAAATGGATGAAGAAGAAGAAGAGATTAAATATTCACCAAAAAGGTGGTAGAAGACAAAGAAGAACGAAAATTAAGAAAAGGGGGAGAAGAGAGAGAGGGAGAAGAGAGAGAGAGAGGAGCGGCAGCGAGACAGCGAAGGCAGCCCGTGGTTCAGCCCGCGGTGCAGCCCGTGGTTCAGCCCGCGGTGCAGCTCATGGTGCAGCTCATGGTGCAGCCCGCGGTGCAGCTCATGGTGCAGCTCATGGTGCAGCCCACAGTGCAGCTCATGGTGCAGCTCATGGTGCAGCCCACAGTGCAGCTCATGGTGCAGCTCATGGTGCAGCCCACAGTGCAGCTCATGGTGCAGCCCGTGGGCTGCGGCACCGTGTGCGGGGGCAGCCAAATTCCCGATAGCACCAGAGGGACCTTCCCCTTGCCCAGCGCCCGAGGGAAGTCGCTGTGTGAAACCACCCCCTGAACTCGGGAATCTTGTCCAAGACAATGACAGTGTCCTGCAGTTACGCGTGCCCTGCCTTATCTCTTAGATAGGCAGTGGGGTTGGAGTCTCCTTTCCCCTACCTGGCCCTCATGGCTGCTTTAACCTCCCATTAGGCAGTTCCTTCTGCTCATCCCGTCGTCCGGATCTCCTGCTTTGTCCCCTCCTCTCCTGCTCTCTCTGTTGCCAGGTTGGGCTGCCCTTCGGAGCCTTTCCTTGAGGACTGCTGGTGATGCCAGCCTGGCTGCCCGCTCCCAAGCCTTCATCCCATGGGATTTCATTGTCTTCCTCTGTGTGGTRCAGTCCCAGCTCCCTCCCTCCTTCCTTGAAGTGCTTCAAGCTAATTAAATATTCCCATAAAACCAAGTCAAATCAGCCTTTCCCCTGGAGAGGCACACAGGGGTAACAAGTAAGAGAAAGAGAGATCTTGAACAGGAGTTAAGGACCATAAAATGCACACCCAAAATATTTTCCTGCTAAGCAAAAAATCCTTAGCCAGGGAGAACAAACAATCTTCCTCTTCCTCCTCTACCCGTTAGTTACTGTTTGTTGTTCCCCTTCACTGCATTGGGTTTAACTGAGCTCCTCGGCGCTTTCTCTCGTGCTTGTGCTGTGATTTCCGAGTCCTCCCCGTGCCCCAGATCCAGCAGCGTTCCATGGAAGCTGCCATTGGGACATTCCCGAGCCGTGGGAAGCTCTGTGCCCAGGGGCAGCCTGTGCTCCCGGTGCTGCTTCCAGAGCGGGAAGCGGGAGCCGCTCCCAGCAGCTCTGGCGGGAAGAGCCCCGCATCCCTGCGCACGCGTGTCTGCCTTCCCATCAATCCCCCACTGGCCTTTTCCAGCCAAGTGCCAAGGTATCCCATTTCCATGCCTGCTCTATCCCAGATATCTGTCCTATCACAGGACTGGAGCCACGTGTCTGCCTTTCTGGGAGGCCTGGCCGCGTGCGGGGCCGCTGGGAGCCCTTTGGCTTCGCCTGCAGACCTGTCAGGTGTCCCTGTGGGCTCGGGGCAAACGCAGAGAGTTTGGGAGACTGGAGGGAGGCCACGACGTCAGGCGGCCGGGAAGGAAAAGCACAAACAAGGATAAGAAAAAGCGGAACTGGGTGGAGATAAGAGCAGCAGCTGCGAGGGAGGCTGAGGGCCCACAGGGTCCCTCACTCCCCTCTCACTAGGGAGAGGCTTTGCCAGCTCCCTTCCCCTGCAGCTCATGCAGAGCACACGTTATCCCCTGACAGCTTCCCCCGGGTTCAGTACATCCAGATCCCACCCGCCCGGTGTGTTTCCAGCTGGGTTTCATGTGCTTTGCAGGGAAAGGCAGTAGGAATAGCCTCTGTTAGTTACCTAACAAACTTTCCTCCCCAGTGTCAGGTTTGGATGTTTCAAAACAGCCCTTAAAGATCTAGCACCGGCTACGGTTCATTTATTCCTGAGCACGGACACACAGATGCATAAGAGAAAAAACCTTCCAGTGCCTTGGATTATCCATGTGAGTGAGATCCCGCAATGTTGCACGTGAGATTTCCAGTCAATTCTTAAAGTAACCATATGTGCTCCCATGGCTTTCAGTAAAAACAAACATTACTTAAGTGACCTCACGCTCTTTGTACCTCAACATCAGTTTTGCCCTTTGCTGTTTGTGTACCTGGCAAAAACCCTGAAATCGTTACTTTTTCAGCAAAGTCACTGCCACACGAGGTTGTTTTGCACAGGAGGTTACTGCAGCACATGCCCTTCCTTGCCTGAGGCGGCCCYGGCGTCACCGGCTGCTCCGCAAATCCCCGGGAAGCAGCTCGGGAGTCTGGTTCCCGCTGACTCCAACCCAGGCCTAGAATTCATTCACTGGCATTTGCCCTAAATAAGCCTAAAATTAATAATATTTTCTTGGAAGTTCCTACAGATTCCCTCCTAAATCGCTTTAAGAATCTGTCCCTTTTTACTAGTTATTTTAATAGTTATTGCTGTAACTTCATAATAGAGTCTTTATCTCTGTRGGAGACTTGGAAAAATGTCACAGATAAAATTGCTTAGGAATTATTAAACAACAGCAAAGAATCTGTTGTGTCTATAAAGACAAATCCATCCTAAATATGATAGAGTGACTTAAAGCTGGAACTGAAGGAGAGTCGCGGGCTGGGAAAGCAGCATTTCTCGTGCACAGCACCCCTGGATTAGGAGCTGCCACCYGCTTTAACACAGCGAGAAACGGGGAGAGCCCAAATTCGAACRGCCCCTTTGACAAAACGGCCTCAAACAATGAGGGGATTCCAGCAGGAATAGGAACAAACGTTGTTTGCCCTCTGCTCCTGAGCCTGGCGACRGGGTTATCCGGAGTTACCCAGGAAGGGCAGCGTTGGTCGATGCCATTTCCTCCCTCCTTGGTGAGGCTTCACGCTCTGAGGTTGTGTAGGTGTCTCCGGCTGCACCAGGGACAGTCTCTATTAGTCTGTGCTAACAAGCTAAGGCACTGGGCAGGCTGATGGAAGTTTTACAACCAGGGAAGCAGAATGACCTGAATTCTTACAAGCTGGTCTGGAAATAGTGGCAAGTCAGTGGCAGTGCCCGGGGTCCAGTTTGGTTGGAGGGCTGTGATTAATTACCCAGGAGATGTGGAAGGAAGCTTCACCAGCCACCTCRATGTTATTCTCGCAGTGTGCCCCAGAGCTCCCCACAGAGCAGTTMCCGCGTCGCATTAGCAGCATAGAAAGAGTGGAGAGAATAGTCATTTTTTATAAAATCAATACTGTTTAACTTACTAGAACACTAAATAACAATATGTTTTACTTTATGTTATTTCTTTGAATGTRCTCAATGCCATCTCACGTTTGTTTTTTATATTCAGTATCTTCTAAATATTTGTCTCTCAAATATAAGAGGTTCCTTGGGATCCATAACTTGGGAGTGTGTTGTTTGAGACAAGATTGAGGTTTTATCCAAACTTAACCCAAATGATACAAATTCAGCTATTGAGATTTAATTATAACTATCTGCTGCTACAAAAAAAAAAAAAAAAAAAAAAGTGCTATATAACAAACTGCTTTGATTGAAAAATTTAAAGAGAGATTCTGCTGGTGGAATTTGCATTTATATCAAAGATAGTCTGAAGAAAAAGCTGATGCCACCAGCCTTTCTCATACCCAATAAAAAAGATTGCTGTTTGAAAGCAGCTCTGCCCAGAGGTTTGCTCACTTGCAATATTCCTAGTGCTGGGATAAGTAGAGCAGAAGACTCGTAAAGCTTAAGAAAAAGAATGACGGTGTCGACACTAATTACAAGGGACGTTTTACTGCTTATGAAGTGGGAGTAGTTAATCTTAGACTGTAAAGAATTAGTCATGAAACTGTATGTAAGACGAGAACTTCCAAACTTGACACAAGTTTATACTAGTATCTGGATCTATCCTAAGAGACAGAACACGTTTTAGATTAGATACCTAGATCCTGAGTTTCAGTTAAGATAATTAGTAAATCACTATGATTGGAGGGCGTCCTTAACCTCAGGCTTATTATTTTAGGATATAAATTAAATTCTGGGAACTGTCTGTCACATTTTATTTTTTAGCTATCCTTCATATGCAAGGTATAGTTGTTAAATATGCTTTAAAACGGGCACAATAGAAGAAAATTGTAATAATTCTGTTGACTATAGGTGGTTAATTTGTTTCTGGTTTTTGGAAGTACACTGATAACAAGGGTTTCATGTGTCTCTGTCTTTTACATTCATACCCTCTTATAAAATGGAAAGTTGATGTGAAAAACTAGCAGGTCATTCACAATCTTGTACCATGGGGGGAAAAAATGGCATAAATACACAAAATCCTCAGGCTGAAGTCAGTCATTTGGGCTCCCTTTCTGGCTGAGATGTGTGAAGATGCAGCAGCCGAGCAAGCGGGAAGGGGAAGCTCTGCGAGCGCTCCTGGCAGCCGCGTGCCCGGCTGCAGCGGCGCTCCCGGAGCGCTCTGCTTCCCGCCGCGCCGGGGGCAGAGGCGACACGGCCGGCGCTGCCCTGTGGGCACCGCGACGCCTCCGCRGTGCCAGCAGCAGCAGGGCCACAACCCCAGGCCTGGGAAGCACGGTAGGGATTAGGACTTTCAGTGGGAGTTTTCCCCCTCGTTCCGCACTGTTTACCTGGCCGTAACTTGGTGCAATCAGCCAAGTTACTAAATTAAAATTAACCAATTAGACTTGCTCGTTATGCCCCGATTCTGCGCGTGGCCGTGCGCGCTGCAGCGGGCGCCCCGCAGGGAGCCGGCAGCCCCGTCCGGGAGCCTGTTCCTTCGGCTCGGGGTTTGGCAACCAAAGGATCCTGGCRCTAACAGGGATATGCGATTTTATCTGGCAGTTTCCCATTGCAATCAGTGTTTATATTCCCTGTACTGACAGGGAAGAGACCCGCGGGACACTGCGGAGCCCACGCGCTGACTAATTTATATCCGCATCAGCTGGATGTAAATCAGCGCTGAGGCCTACAGGCTACGGCGGTTGCTGTTTGAAATCCCCACATGAGCGTCTCGGGAATTTGTCAGGCGAAGATGGTGTCCTGAGWTACGGCCTGACGGACAGGCGTTCGCGGCGGTGCTCAG